GTCTCACACGACCCGCAGGAATAGGGCTTTAAATCTGGAATAAATGCAAACATGACATCTCTTATATAAAACAATACAAATTTGAGTAAAATCTTCTAAGGTAATACACAATAATCATTTTTATAAAAAAAAATAAATAAAACCAATAAAAAAAAGCTAGGGGGCACCCGGGTTTGAACCGGGGACCTCTCGATCTGCAGTCGAATGCTCTACCACTGAGCTATACCCCCACGTGTGATACTCTCTTCTATACTCGCAGTTATACTATACTTATGACGGCCATTAAATTAAACACAAACACATATACAGAGTGTTTTAAAAATAATTACTTATCACAAACAAAATTTCTACTTCATTTTTCATCGTAATGTACATATTTAATGCTTTTCTCCAAACAAAAGACATTTTTACGGTTCAATAACCAAAAACGTTTAAAAAAAAACAACCTTATCTGTAAATTTTTCACAACAGTTTCTCTTAGAAAGCTAATAGGTACTATCAACTTGCATTTTCGCATAAATATACAGATTGCTTCAACTATAAGCTTAAAAATGTTGAAAATATTTGGTTTTTGATTAAAAAAAAAATCCAAAGCAGGATCAAAAAAAAAATTAACAAAAGGGGAATGAGGTACCATATAAAAGTGCTTTATTTGCACCTTTTACACGTTTTCTTTTTAATTTTAAGCCACATAGTTTTTTAATTGTGATCAAAAATGTATGAAAAATATCGTCTCTCTGTTCCCCAAAAATAAAAAATTATTCAGGCAGCTATTTTTTTTTTTTAACATAAAAAGTAGATGCAGAAAATCGGTAAAGAGGCCGAAGGAAAATCTAAATTAGAATACTGTTCGCAAGTAGCTAGAAATGTAGTATATTCTAATTTTCCTTAAATAGTCCCTACTGGAAGTGAATGAACAACCAGTCTTTATGATGATGAAATTAAAGTTAAATAGTCTTCTTTTCTTACCTATGTGAGTCAATAAATGTCTTCGTAATTCTTTAGCATTAATAAAAGCTTTAGAACATTCTGAACATTTATGAACCCTCAGTCTAGCATGCGATCTCCTATGAACTGTCAACGACCACCTCGACTTAAATCTTTTCCCACACTGATCACACATATGATTTTTCTCTTCTAAAATTATACAAAACTGTAAACAGTTATATCATACCAACTGAGGCATATTATCTTACTTGAATGCTTTAAAAGATGTTTCTTTAAGTTGGATGAATTTGAAAACTTTATATTGCAAATTTTGCATTTAAATGGCTTTTCCTCTTCATGAATATATGAGTGTATTTTGAGATAATCTTTACTTTTAAAGCCTTTCCCACATGTTTGACACATAAACGATGTCGATTTAGTGTGAGTCAGTTTATGTCTTTTTAGCTTACTCTTCTCTTTGAAAGATTTACTACAACTGTTGCAAGGATAAGGTGCTACATCTAAATGGACCAACACATGAGCTTCTAATTGTGATTTAGTTACAAATGATTTCTTGCATCTATCACAGCTAAATGGCTTTGTTCCTTTAAAATTAAAAGATAAAAATTAATTTTAAGATAAACATGGCCACTAATTCCTACAATTTTTTATGAAATTAGTTCAGCTAAAAAGTTTATAGTAATAAATATTCTTTATTGGTTCGAATAATACTTTCTGTCACTAAAAAGCTGCTGAACGGTAAATAAGAAAGTGTGAATACTAATAACCCTGCACATATCTATCAGAGTTGATTATCAAAATAAAGACAAATTCAGCACAAACTATCACTTTTAAGTGAATAGAATCTCATGCATGAAAATTTTCAACATTGTTCTCAGATTATATTACAATTTACATATATATACCCATGTATATTTCTTACCTTCTGCACAATACTTATGGTTGTTTACGTAATACTTTGTGTAAAACGTTTTTTGACAAACATTACATTTATATTGGTCCCCATTGTTTTTTATGACTGTAATATGACTAGGTAATGTAAAGAGATCATATTTACGCTTGTTGGATTGGGTTTGTATTAAAACGTCCTTATTACGTATTTCATTCTGTGTTTGAGCATTTTCTTCTACTTCCTTTTTGTTCGTCTTTAATGAATTACCCACATTTGATGTTTTGTTTTTGACACAAAATTTGTTACACGTTATAACTGTGGTCTGATGTTTTTCAATTTTCAAGTCTTTTATTAATTTAATATCATTTATTGAAGAATCGCTATTATTATTACCGATGCATTTATCTGTAGAACATTGAGGGCATCCTATTTCATCTGCTAATAGGCACAATCTACATTTCTTATGGCCACAACTATCTTGAACTAATCTTCTAGCTGAATCCTTCAATATCTTTTTACATTGTGGACATTCTATATCGCTCATGATATAATGCTTATTCTGTTAATATGCTCATTTTATAGAATTCCCCTAAAACTTTGAAAATACAATCATACAATTTTTATCACAAGTTATAGGTTATGTTCCTAAAAAGTTTATTTTAAGAAAATATAATACTTCTACATGTATATAAAAACATTTCAGGAAGAACGATTACTAAAATAGTGTGTATTTTTATTACAAATACTACAACTCACCTGCACAAATTAAATGAAAAAATCATAACATTAATGAACATAGCCACATATTATTTTGAAATTTTTACCTGTTGAATCATGTGATTTGTAATCTATTATCTATGTTTGTAATTTACAGTACGTCCCGATAGAGTTTATAATAATATTACGTACTTAAAAAGGAGCAACTATACAAGGTGTTATCTAATAAATTTAAGACAAATGTAAAATTGCGAAAATATACTGAGAATTTATATCAAACATTCATAAAAAGAAAAATAAGTATATTTATTAGAAGTCGACAACATTAAAGTACAGATATATGTATATGCACAACTTATCGTTAACATTAATAACAAGTATTAGAGGCCGTTTTTATTATACTTCTCTTTCTTAAGTAAATATATAATAGATAAATAGGCTCATTAAACACATACAGTAACGTAATCGTATATTTTTCTAAACTTTTTTGGATTTTGGGTTTTAAATGTTTTACAAAATAATAAGAACAAAAATTTGAAACTGATGAAACTTACTACGTAATTTCTTTTCTAAAACAAGTTAGTATCATCATTTATTTACTTGAGAGATTTTATAATTATATGTAACATGTTCAATAAAAATTCAAATTGCACAAAATGTGTCACAGCACAACTTCTTTTAACGCATATATGTAATGTAAAAATTACATAGATTGAAATAATTCTTTAAAAATCATAATCTATGTAGTTAGTAAAGACTGAGTTCATTTATAAGTAAGTAATAAACATACATATATTATGTATAGTACAAATACAACTAATCTCTAGTGTAGTACCATGTATATTCTCTAAATACAGTTATATTTTTTTCGCTTATGTGTAAGTATTAGAACCTAAACACAACCCATATATAGACATGTAAATATATAGTATATATTTTGTAGTTATCATTATTAATTATTTTACTATATGATTGTTATAAATATCGCCAAGGTCCAAAGTTGGTAAATAATAAGTTTAAAGTAGGTATGTTACTTATATTTTTAACGAAAATTTAAAGGTTTGGTAATTATTAAAAATATCGGCTTACTTTTGAAATGATTATAAATATTATAAATGTTAACCACCAACTTTGTAACTATGACGTTTATGTGTCTTAAATATATGTATTATAAAATGCGGTTAAATGTAAATAAATAATCGTTTCGATTGAAAACGAACTTAGACCGTTTAAAAATATGTACACAATTTTAAACAATGACTGAAGACTATGTTGAAAGCTAACCGATTAAATCACCCAGTACATAATATGTCTATTAACATACAAGTACTTAAATACACGATAATAGGCCTTGTTAACATAGGTGTATAAAAGAGAGATATTATATACAGAAAAAGCAACAGATTAAAAAGTTATACAAAGCTTTCCAAAAATTAGTCGTAAGTCATTTAATGTTTTTAGAAGAAATGCAATGTTTCCAAAAATGTGCTGCGCAATATAAATTAAAAACTTTGCAACACATAATAAATAATATTTGTAAATTTTACGAGCACATTCTTATTTTTTGGAAAACTTTGTAAAAACTGCATGTACCTACGCATTTTATATTCTCACAATAAGTAATACTGTTTTTAGAATATACATACTTTAGTTTTACACCAGACTTATGTACTTTATTTGAAAAGTACAACATGAAAGATTAACCTATTACAAAATTAATAAATCTTACAACTTACAATTAGATTCCTATAAATAATTAAAATAATGAGTGCTAAGTAGTTATTGTTTCTGCTTTAACTTTATGAAAATTCGTTATAGATAAATCGAAATCAGTTAAGTAATAATTCAGCTTAATTTTTATATTTCCGCTACTTTATTTTAAATTCTTAACAATTGTTTCGCTCCACAAGGGCATCTTCAGAAGATGTAATGGTGGATAATGTTTACAACATCTTTTACGTATTAATATAAATTACTAGAGGGGATGCTTTTCTTTTATTATACATTTTCTCATCAACCGGAATCTTCACTTCTTAATATCTTCATCCAATCTTTGCATTTCTCCAAAATTGGAGCAATCTACATTTCTAACTATTTGCGAATAGTAATCAGTAAATTCTTTGATTCCTTCCTTTAGGGCAAATTGGAGGATCTTTTATCGAATATATTAAAAATTATGCTAATAATATCCATTAATCATATTCATAAACAACTAAACATTATTTCAATATAAAAATACAAATTGTTATTTTTTACATCTTATTTAAAAAATGGGAGAGAATATGTTAGAATCATTATAGAAATTAAGAAATAAACGTAATTATAGAGAAAATACCCACTAGTAGATATTTAGTTTAAGTTGCTGTATAAGAGATACTACAAATTATTTTTTTTTTTTTGGAGATGCCCCTGTGTGGTAAAACAATTATTGTTAAGAATTTAAAGCTAAACAGCTCAGTATCATGTAGATAGACTACAAAGATTATTTTTATTTTAATTTAAACAAAATTTTGTAAATTTTCTACGCAACACTACCGAACTGATAAAACACAATGGCATATCGTATTTTTTCAGTCTTCCAGATTTTTTATCAGTTTCATAGTGTAGTTAGTTCTACAGTATGTATATTCGATGATATATAGATAATATCAAGAATTTTCTAAAAATGTCTAACGGATATTTTACTAAAACGTCACTTCTTGATAACAAAAAGTAAATAAGGTCTTAATTTGTAATTTTGTAGAATTATTTTTTTCTCGTCTAGACATTAAATTTGTTTTAAATTACGTAGAAAAATAATTTTTTAAATAAATCTTCTACTACGTATGTAGTCTTATGTAAATCAGGGTGTATGCAAAATCGCCCTTCTTAGAAAATACACGAATAAAATCTGAAAATATTGGCACTCTTTTTGGCAACTGCAGTGATTCGAAAATTATTTTCCTCCTTTTCTTTCTACGGTATACTTTTCCAATGTGGTAGAATTTGCCCAACCCTAGCGACCGAACTTTGACTTATATTATAAAAAATTGTCTCGCCCCCAGCTAGAATAGCACCCCAGGTACCGAAAGTGCCGTAATCTATAATGGAATGATTGCAAGAGGACAATATCGCTAAATCTAAAGAAGGGGAATTAGGGATGGATCTGCTTGTTATATAAACATTCTTCAACTTCCCGAAAAATTTTATACACCAAGCAGGTTCATCGCTTACTACAATAAAGACAACATTTTTGTACTTTTGATTGTAATACTTCATTGCAGCGTAGTAAAATTTGAAGCTGGCCGGTTGAACCGTGTGCTTCCTCCACAAATATCCAATATAATCTGTTCTCCTCACGTGGACACCGACAAACACGGGATGAGAAATATTTTTGGCTGCACGTTGCAAAATCTGTTGGCTTTTGTTAAATAATTTCTTCTTAAACGTAAATTCACTAATAATATCTTGGACCCATGAGAGAACTATGTCAGGTTGCAAGGAGTAGCGTGGTAGAATGATACTCTGGCGGGTAAAGTTCCATGCGTCGAGAGAGTTTACGAAGAAGGTCATGTCAACTGGGCAGTGAGCTATTTCTTCAAGGGTTGGCACGGACAATGATTCGAAAACTTGGTCGAGCCTGACACGTATGCATCGGGGAACATAGGGTTCAAGCCCGGTTCGTCTAGCAACGGCCCAAACGGAAGCATATTCCCACATTTGGTTTCCCAAACGGCCACCTTGCATTGTGGTCACGATACCATACAATGGGCATTGCTGTCTCGCCCATTCTTTTCGATATTTCAGAATGTTGTTGGTGCATAATGATTGCTCCAAGTCCACGAACGACTTCGTTAAAGTGTGGCTTGGACTGATGTAGAGGGGAAAAAGAAATACGTGGACAAACGCACTTACGCACAAAGCAAGGATGATGGCCGTGAACAGAATGTTCTGGTTGATGTTGTACATGCTCGACTGGATCCTTCATTGAAAGTACTCTACTACTACTACTAATAATTAACATCCCTATATACGCGGCACGCACTTCCTCTCACATCTTGCTGGAAACTACCGATTTTAACCACAGGAACGACGGTGGCAGCGCGATGACGACGCTGGCGACGCCAACACGACGACTGACGGACGACACTCCGTTGCCTGGTGCGACGCTATCGATTTTTCCATACTTAGGTATATGTTCTTGAATTAAAACGAAACCGAGATCCAATTAAAATTTATAATAACCAAAAATAGGTAATTGCTTTACACTTAATCGATATTTTCTGACGAGCTCTTCTTTTAAGTGATGTCATCCCATTTAATCAAAAGGTTCTAGATCACGAATGACAAACGTAACAAAACATCCTGATTTATCAGTCTTTAAATATTTTGATTGGCATTGAAAGATAAACCAGAGACGATTTTACAACGCAGAAAATATGAACATGTTTAACTCAAAGACAGGTTTTAGCATTGAAAAAGATTCAGGATTCTTCATTCCATTATTTTATACCGGAATAATTATCATACAGATGTTTAATTGTGCCTGCTCAGAACAGAACTATCCTAATACCCCTTACGTATTTAATTCTTTAGTTTCTTCCTGTACTACTTTAAAAAACGGACAGACAGACACAAAACACTACATAAAGGTTCCAGTATTCATTCAGACATACGGAACCATAAAAAGAATTCCACACCCGAGAACCAACTTGGTAGTTGAAAAAAAAAAACATGTTCTCTCATACATTCTAACTGCAAATGTATGCACAATATTGTCTTGTTGAACGATTTACCACGTTATGTTCAGACCATAGACTTCTTGTTAATTTTCTTGTAATCTATAAGAACTATTTTCTGTTTTTTTTTTCAAAATTTTAAGTTCAGTAGTTTCGGAGATAAGGGGGAGAATGGTCAGTTTTCATCTATTTTCTTAAATAAGTTTAAAACTAATTATTTTAAAATTATAAAAGAATATATTTGAAATCCTTACAACAAGCCCTTTCATTTGATATGTCACATGGTACAATTTGCAAATACCTTTTTTTTTATTTCCTATTGGCCCCTTAAAAAATGACCCCCATGTCCAAAATTAATTCATTTACGTTATGTGTCCATGTTTGAATAACAGAAATTCAGACGTGCACTAAATTTCAACTTAATCAGTCCAGTATATTTGGAGAAAATTGACTGTTACAGACAGACAGACACACGAATGATCTTATAAGGGTTTCGTTTTGGTAAAGGTCTAGATGATGGCCCAAAGGGGGTGGGGTGGGGGGATCGAAAGAGGAGGTCTCCCCCACCACTGTACCATAAAAGTTCGTGGCAGTCTCACCCCCATAAAAAGTTATGGAGGTTGAAAGTTAATAAATATGCCAATTTTTATACATTTCTAAGCATGTAAATATTTATATAGTCATTCTTAAACAATACTCAAAGGTAAAACTAATGAAAAATACATAAAAATATTGAGAAAGTTATATAAAACATTATTTATATATCTTTATTAATAGGGTAGGTACTTAGGTGACCATCCTGTTTCGATCCCCCATAACTTTTTATGGGGGTGAGACCGCCACGAACTTTTTATGGTACAGTGGTGGGGGAGATCTCCTCTTTCGATCCCACCCACCATCATCTAGACATTTACCTTCGTTTTTTATTCGAACGTATGGAACCCTACACTCACGTGGGTGAGAATTAGGTATTGAACATTTTTGACAATTTTTCTGAGACCAAATTACCCCCTACAGAGCCCCTAATTTCGATATTTTCGATTTCATTTCAACCACTTCGTTGTGCCAGCTTCACAACCATTAGAATTAGTCAAACGAGCAAACGCAGGTTTCCGCGCCTGTTGTCCATTGCAATAGCTAGTATTTTGGAATCCAATTGTCGGATCGAAAGCTTGCAAAATGCCGACATTTCATCATCTTCGTGAGACATCTTGAGCTCAGCTGTCCCGCATGAATGCGAATCTGGTATATAAATCTTAGCATTTATTTTGAAGCCTTTTATAGGTAGAGTTACAATAATTACTATTGAAAATATCCACCAGAACTGCTACTCTTACCAGTTATTTTGCATCAGGTCAAGCGAGTAGTGACCTTACATATATTGAAAAAGTAAAAGATTAAAGTACTTATATATCTATTACATACTCATACGTCATTAACATTCCTGAATGTGTTAATGAAAATTTTAAGTAGGGATTAAAAGACGATAAACTTTTTACATCAAACAAAACATGTGAGAATAAAATAACCGAAGGCAATTGGAAATTCCGCGCCAACAGAAACTTGTTTTTAGTGTCTTTAGTAAGTACCTAATGCATGCAACTCTTCATAGTCAATAATTTAGTAGCGTTATCGTTCTTATACAGTTACAATATCAATATAACGTGCAAGATGTTTGTGAGGAATAAATTGTTTATCAAAGACCTTTAGATAATGCGTTCCAAAAATTAATGTAGCGAAGTTTAAGAGAAAATTTAGAATTCGTAAAATGATTAGAAGCGGTATAGTTTTTATTACTTTTTGGACAGTTTTAGGTAAGTTATAACTTTTCTTATTGTTTATACCAAAATAATTAACAATTGCAGGATAACAAACCTATAGTAATAAATAATTTTCGTATAAGTATAGGTAACCACTCATGCTGATCAATTACTTTCACCTTGAGTGTAATATATAATAATAAACTTTAGTATCTATTTAATTTGTAGTGGTAAATGTATAATTAAAATAAACAATTAGGTATGTAATCGTAGCAAAAAATTATCAAAAAACTAATCAAAATAATCATAATAACCCATCAATCTCAATTACATTGCGCTTCCTCTAAAACTATTCCATAATTTTGGCAGTGTCAAGGTCTTCGTCAGTTTATATTTACGATAAATACACAATCGGAAATTTGACAAGATTCAAAAGACAATCAGGATGTACAGGGTAATCATCAACTTGCATCATCATAATTTCGTAGATATAATTACCCAATTACTTATTTTAGATCGTTTGAATTCCAATGTAGATCAGGAGAGTGTATCAGTGACGATTATTATTGTGACGGAAAAGAAAATTGCAGGGATGGTTCAGATGAAACTGAAGACTGCAAACAAATTGCGTAAAAAGAATTTATCTTTTTAGTAGTTCAAGTCAATAAATCTGTCTTTTTTTGTTTGCAGATGCTTACCACATTTCTTTAGATGCGAATACGGCGCTTGTATAAATGGAGATTTCGAGTGCGATGGGAAAACCGATTGTAAGGATAATTCTGACGAAACTTCCCCCAAATGTTTAAAAGTTTCACAGTGTGGGTAAGAATATTGGGTACTACTAAATTAACATCAGTTTCAAGTGTAGAAGAAACGATACTTTTTTAATATATAATACTTACATGTACTATTATCAGAGATGTTAAAAATTTTGCTAGTATCACCGATCAAACATTATATAAAATGATGAATGAAATTTGCTCACATTGGCTATTGAAGATATTAGAAGCTTAAAAAGGGGACAAAGAGACATTCCATGAATGTCTTCTAATTATTTAATTGAAGAGATCCCAAAAACTCCTTGAAAATGGATAAACTAAAATATTGGATTGGTATTGATTTCCGGGTTCCATTGTCATGGACCATATTAGCACCTGCCAAATCACCACTTATCGTAGCTTTATCAAGAAACTACGAAATTCTATGAATTATTACAAAACAGCCCGCAAAACAATATCGAATTGATATACGCCAGCTGTGTAAAATTNTAGATAAATCGAAATCAGTTAAGTAATAATTCAGCTTAATTTTTATATTTCCGCTACTTTATTTTAAATTCTTAACAATTGTTTCGCTCCACAAGGGCATCTTCAGAAGATGTAATGGTGGATAATGTTTACAACATCTTTTACGTATTAATATAAATTACTAGAGGGGATGCTTTTCTTTTATTATACATTTTCTCATCAACCGGAATCTTCACTTCTTAATATCTTCATCCAATCTTTGCATTTCTCCAAAATTGGAGCAATCTACATTTCTAACTATTTGCGAATAGTAATCAGTAAATTCTTTGATTCCTTCCTTTAGGGCAAATTGGAGGATCTTTTATCGAATATATTAAAAATTATGCTAATAATATCCATTAATCATATTCATAAACAACTAAACATTATTTCAATATAAAAATACAAATTGTTATTTTTTACATCTTATTTAAAAAATGGGCAAGTGTTGAAAGGTTTTCTTAAAAAATATTTTATACTTAAGTGAATGTAGAAAATTAAATAGTAAAGAAGTATTTTGATAATACGTATTTTGCATTTAACATTTGAAATAAAAAGGGAAATCTATTTTACATTTTACATTTGAAATAACAAATCAAAAAAGTATTTGCATTTTGTAGTTAAACATTTTCAAAAAACTATTTTGCACATCTCTGATTATTATTAGTTGTAATAATCCAATACCGCGATTGCTAGCCCTTTCAGTCTTGTTAAGACATGACCTATTAGGAAAACTGACTTGACACCCTCTTTTCTCTTTAAAATCTTCTCAAAGAAAACAGTATATACATATTGTACCGCCTACTATTTTAAAAACGACTTCTTCGCCGACGGTTTTCTTGTAATTTTGAACCCATTGATGTCGAAAGAAAGGTCGTTCTTCAATCAACTTTTCACGCCGATTCAAACTCTACAAGCCTTTTTCTTTATGCATCTTCGTTCTTAAAATGTAGGCATTTCAAAAGTTTGCACGCTTTTCTACATATAGCTACTCCAGGCTTTGAGAAATTTTTAACGTACTAATGCAAAAAAGATTAATTAGGAAAGCGAACGAAATACACCAAACACGAGGAGTAAATGCAGGCTGACAAACGAATAACGACAGCAGCCGTTTCAATTGAAATTGGTAACTAATAATAATCTATTCTATAACTTTTTCACTTATTACCGCCTATAACACGTACGTTGTTAGTATTTTTTCCTAAAACTTCATTTGTAAGTTTTTATCAAAATTTCATTCACTTATTTGAGGGATGCGCGACTGGAACTTGTTGATGGATTTAAATAATATTTAAACATTATTTTCTATAATCCTTATACATATTTAGAATTTGGGCTATTACATTTCGGAAGCGTTTAATTTAAAAATGTAAAACATTATCGTAGAAATGTGATTTTTTCCAAATTTCGACAAACCCTGGAGCTCATACGGAAGATATTAACCGATTTCATTTCTTTATTTACCACTTCTTAATCTCACCAATTCGCTACTTTTCCGTAGTATTACGATTTTAAAAATAATTTTTTTTTTGCTTAACTTAGTAGATAAGCAATGATCCCTGCAACTCCACTCCTTTTTTTAAGTTTCTATAAAATACAATCATTACAAAGGAGTAAACGTGTGAGTGATCCCAATAAAAGGACTTTCCTTCAAAAGAAAACCATTTCATTTTTGATAATTATTTTAATATTTTGATGTTGATATAAACATCTACCTGTCGATAATTATTTGTTAAATGAAAAAAAAATTATAAGAATATACAAGTTGTAAGTTTTGTTGTAAATAAACGAGCATTTTTCGTACACTTTTCAAACATGGTGCATTAGACAAATAACAGTTCAATGAGTAAACTCCTTATAATGTGGGAACCTTTAACATAAACAATATCTAATATTTTTCGATTTTGAAGGCCTAACAAATTTCGCTGCAATTCGGGTCAATGCATCAGTGATTATAACAGATGCGATGGAAAACCAGATTGTTATGATAAATCAGATGAAACATCTGAGGTCTGCAGAGAATTAAACTGTCCCGGATTTACCTTCAAATGTGCATATGGTGCTTGCGTAGCTTTTACGTCAAAATGTAATGGTCGACGGGATTGTGCCGATGGTTCGGATGAACAAGGTTGTAAAACTGTAGCAACCACAGTGACAATACCTAAAGTCACCACTACTACAACCAAAAAGCCACCTATAATTGTCAAAGAGTACGTCTCTACCAACAAATATTTACTTTATCAATGCTTTGCCTAATATTTCTAACTGCTTCAGGAAAACTATTTCCAATTATTATATGAATACATATTACATACGTTTGTATTTCAATTCATTTTGCAGCAATTCTGTTAAAGCGTTTTATTACCGAGTTGTTGATTATAAAAAAATAAATTAAATTTTTAGTGGTTGTGTTCTCCCAGATGTACCATCAAATGGTGGTTATAATGTCAGCGGCTTATCAAGATTTTCTGTTGGCGATGTTGTAGGACACCTTACAATTCTTCAATATTACTGTAACAGTGGTTACCAATTATATCCAAACAGACTGTATATTGTCTGTATGACGAATGATAGGTGGGATAAAGAATTTCCGGATTGCATGCGTAAGTACCACTTTTGGTCATTAAAGAATGAAGAATAAACTGCACTTGGCAACACTTGTAAAGGTATCCAATTTAAAAATAAAAGAAAAGGCTCATTTTTTCGAGTTCCCCATCTTACCATTAACAATCTTTATGTTTTTGAGATGTGATTTACTACCAATTATTAAATTTCAAATACTTTTCATGATAATTGCATGTGATCTTGCAAAGACTTATTTTTTTCTTTGTTCGAGGTACTGCACAATAAAGTATCAGCATTTTTGAAAATCCAAATCCGCTCATTTTCATAATTCCAATAACACGAATTAAGCTTCAAATTCTGTATTCTTGATTACATATCATACATTACATAATTCATCATCATCATCATAAGGTCTTCAGTCCTAAGATTGGTTGGACACGCACCTCCACTCTTTCCTATCCTGTATTATAGTCATACTTTTCATGTACTATTGAGTAACTTCAATTAAACTAAAACATACCCTTAATCAACAAGTACATAATTCGGGTTCGTTTCGTCAGTCCTAAGACTCACCTAAGACTCACCTCCGCTCTTTCCTATCCTGAGCTAATCTTCGCATTTCCCTAAAACTAGAACAACCCATATCCTTAACTATTTGCTAACAGTAATCCAATCTAGGTCTACCTTTACCCCTCCTAATTTCCGTTTCTGTCTCTAATATGTCTCTGACTAGACCTTCATGTCTGAGAAGACCATAGAGTCCTCTGTTCTCTTACTCTTTCTAATACCTCTTCATTTCTAACCTTCTCTATCCATGGTATCCTCATCATTCGCCTGTAACACCACATTTTGAACGCTTCTAACTTTTCTTTTCCGCCGCGCCCATTGTTCATGTTACGCACCCGTACAGCACCGTGCTCCAAACATACACCTTTAACAATCTTTTTCGAATTTCTAAATTAACCGTTCGCGAGCATAGAAGTGACTTCTTTTCATTGAAGGCGACTCGACCCTGCGCTATCCTCTGCTTTATATCCCTACTACTCCTTCCGCCCTGACTTATTTAATTTCCTAGATATCTGAAATCAGCCACTTCTTCTAATTTTTTGTCTCCTATCTTTATATTCGCTCTTTCTCTACTTTTCCTTCAAGTAATTCAAAAGTGGCTTAATTTAAGACCACACTATTGTTCGCGACATTCGTAGTAAACATTATATAAGGATAGTAAAGATGGATAATTTGAATTTTACAGGGAGATGTCCTTCATTAGCCCCTACAGAATCTACAGAAGTTGTATGCTCGTTGGGAAATGACTCTAGCAAGAAAATGTGTGAAAACCCCATAGAAGGGACAATCGCCACATTTAATTGTAGAGAATTTTATGAAAGAACGGATTATTTAATCAAGACTACTAAATGTCAAGGCGGCAGTTGGAATAGTTATTCGATAGAATGCACTCCAGGTCAGCCTAATAACTCTGTGAAACACAAAACATCAATAGCAATTTCCATTAGTATCAATTTCGTAGACTATTTACCAAAGTTCCTTAAAATAGACTTAGACGTACGCAAATAATGCAGAGCTATTTTTCAGTAAAGTTTCTATTAGTTTGTATCACTTATTAATACACATACGAATATACCTACCTCTTGATAGTATTTTCAAAATACGTATAATATTTCAGGCATCAACTAATAGTGACATACTTATTTATTTTTAAATCCCGTTAAATAATTATTAAATGTACGGATTGTGTGCTTATACAAATAATAAAAAATTTAAATTAATCGTGTTTCATTCCAATTGACACAATATCTCCCAATTCCACATACTCATAATATTAGCTCTTAACGTTCTTTTTTTCTCACTTCAGCGTGTGGAAAAAGAGGAGGAATTGGACAAACAAATGTAGTGGGTGGAAATATAGCCCTCAAACACGACTTCCCTTGGCATGTGGGAATTTATTTATCAAGTGATAAAACTCATATTTGCGGTGGATCGATTATTTCAAGCAAGTTTATTGTAACAGGTAAGGTTTTTGTGTTACTTTCTGTTCCACATTTCTACAATACTCATTCGCATCTTTTTTAGCTGCACATTGTCTAACCAACTTGGAGACCGGAGATTTAAAACCGACATCAGAATTTTTAGTCAAAGTAGGAAAACATTATAGAGAGTACGACGACCCCAGAGATTCAAAATACACTCAAAACACAATTGTAAGTTGTATATTCACATGCATATTATCAATTAATATATATAGGAACATCAGAAAATCAATACAATTTCTGAATACGATTTACAGCATTGTTTCCCAAACATACCCTTAACTTGCCTTAAAAATCGAGTAATATAACGAATTTTTATAAATTTGTTCTTACTGTAACTGTGAGAAACACGTTGATCCCATTTTAAAAGTAACCATCATGAGCAGTTCTAAATCATAAACACCAGTCGACTTGGTTAAACTTTATTATAATTACTCATAATGGTATCATCGTGATGCATACACTTAACGGCGGTTAACATGTTTGAATTTGGATTTAAAATGCCCTATTGCTTAACTTTAGCTGCCATATGTATTTATTTTCAGATAAAAAGTATTTCTAAACACAGAAGTTACAGAGGTCAAACCCAAAATCACCAAGCTGATCTAGCCATTATAGAACTCCAAGAACCGCTTAAATGGACAAAGTACGTCCAACCTATTTGCATAAATTGGGACCCAAAGTATGGAAACAACGACTTAGGCAGTGACAGTGGACTTGTAAGAGACACTTATTATTACTTGTATTATTTTAAATCATAGTTGTATATAACCCAAACTAAAAAAATTGTATTTTATTAGTAATGTATATTTCAGGTTGTGGGTTGGGGTTTCACAGCGGAAACCGGAGCGCCAGCCGATGAGCTTAAAGTTTTAGAAGTTCCGCATATTAATTTTGAAAAGTGTTATGCATCAGTACCCGATCAATTCAAACCTTTCGTTACCCCCGACAAAATTTGTGCAGGTTTTCAAAAAAATGGTGAGATAAATGCGTGGGCTCAAATAGGCCTCTAAGTTCATTTTATGATGTTATATATACTAAATGTTTCGAAAATCACTATTTCTGGAGTTTTTAATAAATAAAATTTACATAGTAAAACATTTAGTGAATACAACATTGTATAGCTGAAATGACGAAATTCTAACGAGAATAAGAAAATAGGTTAATCAAAGTTGTATTTTTTTTTAGGTCAAAGTGTATGTAATGGAGATAGTGGAGGAGGGCTAGTTTTCAAAAAACAGTATGGTTATTTTGGTCTACGTTACATACTAAGAGGTATTGTTAGTGTTTCTCCGAAGTCCAACGTTACAAACGGTTGCGATTCGAATAGCTTCGCCGGTTACACAGACTTAACAGTAGAGGAATATATAAGATACATAATAATAACGATTTCATGATAATAAATGACTGTTAACACTTTTTGTTTCATATTTTTGAAAATGACAATATTATTTGCCTGCCAACCATGGAGCATTGAATAATATAATGCTTATGCAAATCACCGCTCTTTAGTTACGGTGAATTCGATTGCAGCTTGAGTTTATAATTACAAATCTCAAAAGAGTTAGAAATCTACTTTTTTATATTATTTTACTACCTATCACATTTCTTTAATTGCTGATATTTTTCGATTTATGATGTTCCCAGAAGTTTGTTGTTACAACCATTCCATAAGGGAGTATTTTTTTTTCTGTATAATAAAAATTACCATTTATGATTTGATAAAAAATTATTGTACACTGTAATGTTTATCATATACATATTTTGTTGTTCCCACTAAATTGATATAAACCAAATAATTGTGTAAACAAGAAATTTCTTAATTAATTTTTAACTGATGTTTAAATACAAAAATTGATTTAATTATAAAAGATGGTCTTGACAACTCCCGAATTTTTCATTCTAGAATTTTTTATCAATTTTCTTCTGTTACTGAGCACAGCAACACAGAGCCATACAATTTAATAGATAGGAACATTATATTATATCACCAACTAACGAAAATAACAGTTTATCATTTCCCTTCATAACTAGCGCGTAATTTAGTCTTAAACAGAATAAATCAAAATATAGCCGGAAATGACGTATATTTCTACGCTTGCTCTGTACGAATAGCCAATAGAAACTAGGCACTGTATATACCAGTACCATAGAAGTTCCTGAACCATTACTTTTTATTGTACTGCAAAAACTATAAGTGATACGCATAATATGCTACTAGGGGTAGGAGAAAATCTGTATTTTAATTTCCATTTAAACCGTAACTAAGCGTTTTCATTAAAAAAAAGTCGTCAGAATCTACTTAATCTCTCACTGAACTTTAGATCATATTTTATTAGTGTTCGAATCATCCTATCAAATGCAAATTAGTACATAATGGTCTAATGGTATGTTCAAAGTGTAGTTTAATATTTCCCAAGATGTTACTTATCCACTTATAGTCCATTGAGTGACTCTATATTGTAGGGATCATGGTAGTATTCTCTGACTTCAAAAGGAGTCAAAGTTTGGCGAAACAATTAACAAGTGAAATAAGATTTAGATATAATAATAGTATTATTTTCTGTATTCAGGCATGAAAATTTTCTCTAAGGACGAACTTACCCAATAAACCAACTAACTGCCACAGTATCAAACACTAAAAGCAATACCTTTTCTACTGGGTGTCAACCTAATAATTTTATGAAATAATTAAGGAAGCATGTTGTATTACAGACAAAATTGTGGGTGCGTTACTAGATTTAATTTTCCTTTATTTAAATAAACTTCAACGTATGTGAATGTATTTTTTAAGAACATTTACACACTATTAATAATAATTATACTTAAAATAATCACTTCTTTTATTTCTCAAATATTTTTTATACAATAAAATTGTCCACTTGATAAAAAATTAAATCACTAAAAAACAGTATTGGGTGACAACCTTTACACAAAAATTACTGAAAATAAATTACGAAAAATATATGCATCTTATTTATTTTATAGTTGTTTTTTTCAATCCTCAATAGCGCGACGAGTCCGAAACGATTACGATTACCAAAACAAAAAATGATAATAACTGCAACAGCTGATATACATACACTTACCGATGCACTGCTTAAGCTCGAAAGAAAAAAATAGAAAGGAAAATGATGTGATTAAAAAATAAAATAGTATACACGTAGTAACTGGTGCGATATTGATGATATAACGATGCATGGAAAAACAATATGGACAGACTTGAAAACAACTGATTTCCTATATTACAACCGTACAAACAAGTATGCAACGCAATAACAACATTCAAATTATCACTATGAAGTCATCATATCATTCACTGACGACGCATTTACAGTAGGTCCTTTTAGCGAGTCGTTTATGTCTCTACGGAACATTGAAAGGTTTTGTGTAAATCTGAAATAGATTTAAAAAAAGTAAATAAACCAGTACATTTTGTACCCATTTAGACATGTCGAAATGAGGTACATGAATCGAAGAAGTATCTATATACAGCTTGTATAAAAAGCTGGAGCAGTTGTAGGATTTGAGCAGCAAAATGTAGAGAAGAGTGTTAGGAAGAGAGATAGGCAAGGAAGCATAATGCCATCGCTGCTTTCTAATCTATACATATGTATGCATATTGAAGATGTGATTAATATTATTAATAACAGGACAGCAATCGGGTTAAACAGGAACTAGTGGTATAACCACGGGGGTGTAGGGGTTGCAGGCACCCATCGACCTTTACATAATTTGTATTTACCAAACTGATCCTTAGGCATTTAGTCATAATTATATTAAATTTCATTAAAAACCGTTGGGCAATTAAATGACATTTAACTGACTACGTTAAGAGCTATGAAATAGAGATTTAATAGCATTTCTATGACATTCTTCTTCTTCTATTTAAGCAGGTTTGAGTAAAATTTCATTAAAATCTGTTTGTCATTTATTTTTGAATGGGGCTCCCTTAAGGATATAGAATGTGTAGTTTTTTTAATAAAAAGGGTAGGTGCGTGTATCCAATAGTCATCGAACTGACCATGACAAAAAACATTTCGTTCATGCTAGTTTAAAACAAATAATACTTACTTATCTCTATTTTTAGTAAGAAGATTTCTTTCAATACCATCCATCAGGTTTTCGAACCATTGAGCCATGGCACCTTGTTTGTCTGGCGGTTGACTACGAATAATGTTCTCACGTAACTGATTGAAATAATTCTCATTTAACAGTATCAAACCCAATAGAGGTCGCGACATAGACCACTGATTGCGGCAATCTTCGAACATTATAACATTTAAAACCGTGCTGAGGATCTGTTGCATTATTTCCGGGTGCATTTTGAGTACTTTAACAAACATGTCGCCGGATGGTGCTAGACCTACACGATTTTTCTTGCCTGGATATACTAAAAATAATAAATTTTAAACAGTAAAATAAAAATAAACTAAAAAGAAGCATAAAGATAAGGTATGCATACTTTACAGAAACGCACCTTTTTGGGTCAGCTGCTTAAATAAATATGTAACTATGTGATCCAATGTGGCACAACAACCCGTGCAAACCATCGTATCTATAAACAAAAATATAAAGGAAACAAAGCAGTAAGATAAAGTCAAAGAAAGTACATTTGCATGAAAAGTTGTTAATAGAATTTACGAAGGGGAAATAATAGCAAGAGCTGTTTTAGTCCCTCCCTACATATATTTACCTTAATGCAATTAAAATAGCCACCATTAAACAATTTTAACAAAAAATTTTACATTAACATTGAAATTTTAATTTATTATAGTAAGATTTAATTTCTATTTTAATTTTGTTTTGTTTTATNATTTAATAAATAAAAACAATCTATGCATTTGTCTGTATTTAAAAGTCATGCAACTTTCTAAATAATTAAAAGAAAGGAAACAGAAAGATCGTACAGCCAGAGACAAAAACAGCTTAGGTTCCTAACTCCGGTAAAAAAAAAAAAAAACAAAAATGCCTCTGTTCGACTAAATATGTTTTTGATAATATTATTACGATGTTTTTCCGAGTTTTATTTATCTCTTAGTTAACTCTTTAATTCCACCTCAACATGAAAAACTGTATACCTATCTGTTTATATTTATAAGTATAAGACCAACAATACAAATCAAACTATTCACACTTTTCGAAAAGTATCGAGATTTCAAAATCATGATATATAATAAACCTATTAATTTTTCTTACTCTGAACATAAATTGTGGTCCAAATTCTCATTAACTTGCTAATTTGCATTGAAAATAAGAACTATACATTTGTAATCACATTCAAATCTTGTTTTTCCAATAACCGACAACAGGTCAAAATAACAATTTTTATCTAGTTTCCACTTCTTTTTTTCCTTTTTTTCAAAATCAAAAGCTTATTCATAGTAGATTAACAGTCATTTACATATACAAAACCAATGTTATCAAAATTACCAACTACATTTTGAAGAGAACTTTCGATCATATATTAAAACTTAATCAAAACCATTTCAAGGCAACACAATTTTTAAAAATTATAAGTAAAATAAATAGCTAAAAAATTAAAACAGGTTTAATGTATGATTACAAGTCATCGTCAATATCTGTCATGATCATACATTGCTATTAATCCATATTAAAGAAAGCCTTAGAAGATGTAAGGTTGAGATCAAATAATTGGAATATAAACCTTCGCCCTATTTGACATTTAATTATTTTATTGATTATATTATATCAGGGAGAAGATTGATAACTAATTCATCATATTATAGTTACATAAGTGCTGCTTATACATTGTCTTTAATTATTTATAACTATTTATTACCTTATCCATGTATATCTACATTTTGTATTCACACGTGGATCGTAGACCATACCATATAATTAACATAATGCATTAACAACAAAAACTACCTTGACAAAAACTTGTAATTAAGGCGAAACGTCGGTGGTCGGTTTTACAATAAAAAAAACTTTCACCCTATACTTAAGTTTGGAATGTACGATACACTCAAATCTTTGGGTTTAAAAACCAAAATTGACAGTCGAAACGTTTTTAGCCGGAAGATTCTTGAAATTGGCCGTCGAAATTAGAAAATAAGATTGTTACTGTTGTCGGTTGTGGGCAAAGTAAATTTAAGTGAATTATAACCCAAAAAATTAAATTCATAATGAGTATGTCTGATATGCACCATTAAAACAATAAAAATGAAAAAAATTATGGTCGTTCAGTAAAAAAACAAAAATTATAACTTATGGCTGTCTGTCTCTGACTTGCACAAACCTGTATAGTTATTCAATTGCCCACCTAAGGCAGTTAGTCCTTTTGAAATCGAGGAAAGAATGTACAAAAAGACTTGTGGTTCCAACGTGGATAGAAAACTCATATGATCTTGCGCTACACATTCTAATAGTACGTAGTAAGTCTGTGACAATTTCGGATAATCCTGGAAAAATAATTAAAAATACACTGAAAATTTTCAAATTAACCTTTTTCAAAATTCTTGATTAAAACAACCGAAGGGATTAGTTTATCAATACTCTTAAAAACATTTAAGTAACTTCTAGTATAATTACTTAATGTGTAGTAGGTCCCAAAATGAGGGGTGGTAGCAGTAGATTTAATTACCGTATATTACGGCGTATAAACACCCCCCCCCCCGTCCAGTTTTTTACTAAACACTTAGTATTCACATATATTCATTGTATAAACTATAAACTCCCTCTCAATTTTCAGTTGGAGAAAAGAAATTTTTCAATTTTGTATAATCACCCTTTTCATTAAGGCTCAGTAGTATGGAAAACTACTGCGGAAATTTCAAGTTCCCACCTTAAACAATTTTCAAAGTCTGAATACACTACGCTCATTAATCTTAATCCGCCCTTAGAGCATATAATAATCCTAAAGTATATATTATTATTATATACATATAAAACCATGTAAAATTATGTTGTATATAGCTTCATAGCCACCACTACAGTACCGATGAATAACTTCATACAATGGCCCCATTCATAAATTAAAACACATAACATTTTCTTGATTAATCTTAAAAAAAAAAACGCTGTTCACTTACCAGTAAGTCGGACTGTGGTATGGATAAAAGAAGTTTTACAAAAATATTAAGAGCATTATCTAAGGCTTCGTCGCCATACAGCCTGAACACTCCGAAATTGACATAGCTTCCACACAAAGCAGCCTTTAATATTGAAAAGCATATCGATATTCCTTTTAATTTCAACGGATATATTTGCTCTTTCGCTACTTCGACATTCAATATCCTACTACCTATAAAAATATAAGATTTATAGACGATCAAATAACTACTGTTACAATGATTTTTATTTAGAAACAATAAAAAAGCGTACGTGTAACATATACCATCAATTTCAAACGCAGAATAATTGTATAACGGGTTAAGCAACAGTTTCTTAAACTTTTTATAGTTGTAGACCACTTTCAAAATTATAAAAATCCCACAGACCCCTTTGGAATAAAATTGTAGGAAAAAACAAGGCAATTTAAAAATAAT